CACAATGAGACAATCAGACACACCAGGGAAACCAACGACAGGGAGGAGGACCAGACAAAACACAAGGAGGAAGACAAAACACCGAATGAACAGACTTACAAAACCCATGACCAGACAGACAACACTAAAACCGTGACATAAACCAAGGAGTGTGACATCGCTACACCCCAGCCAGAGCTTTAAGGTCTTCTGACCAGCTGTTGCTGATAGTGCCCAAGACCAGGCTCAAAACCCGAGGTCACCGAGCCTTCGCAGCAGCTGGTTCCAGGCTCTGGAACACTCTGCCCCTCCATGTGAGGTCGGCCCAGACCCTAGTGGTTTTTAAATCCTCACTAAAAACTCACTTCTTCTCTCTGGCCTTCTAGTCAGAGCGGAGCATGACACCTGACTATTCCCTGTGTTTCAGTTTTTTTATATTTATGTTGTAAATTATTGTCTTTTATTGTGATTGTAGTAAAGTGTTTTTATTTATTGGCTCGACCAAAGATCGCTTTTAAATGTGCTGTAAAAATAAAACTTGATTTGATCTCCATAAAGAAATGTATGGTTTTTAATCTGCTGAATGTCTCTTTTCCTTTTTGTCTTGTTATTTTTGTTCATTCATTATGTGTAATTATCTTTGATGATTTTTTATACTAAATTCTCCAATGTGTTCCAATGCTAGTCGCTAACTTTGTCTGCGTGATGCTAAGTAGTTAGCAGTCAGGATCTATCAGTGTTTTGTCTATATGATGCTAATGAGTGAACCAAAACAGCATTCAATGGCATTGATTGTGACTGCTATTAGAAACTGTTTAAAAATCATATCTAAAACAATGTTCAAAACCCTATATCACAAAAACAAATGGGAAATATTATCGGTAATATTTATCCGTAAAATATTACTATTCCCAGCTGTAGTTTATTTGCAAAAACTGAATAATCTTCAGAAAGGAAACATTTCGTAGACCCGATGAGTTACCTTGAAGTTCGGCTGAGAGAAGCATCGAGCCACGGCGATCATGGAGGCGGTGAGCGGGCCGGAGACCCCGATGGTGGTCAGGAACTCGGAGATGTTGGGCGTCAGGCGGAAAGGAACCGGGCGGTTAGCGTCCAGATCGCCCGTGGCGTCGTTGATGTCGAAGCGGAAGTACGAGACGTTCAGCTTCCCCGTGTCCTGAAAACAGAGAAGGGGATAAAGTCAGAAATCAATAAAAGAAAACATAACAACGCTTAAAAATTCATTTTTTACAGTGTGCGGTCATGAAGAGGGTATATCCTAGCCTCCTTCATATGTCACCGTCTTGCAATCAGCTTCAATCTTATACCTAATCTGTAAGTGTTTTTATTTGAATCCCCCTTAATATGAACATTATTTAGGTTTTGAATTTATTTTAATAATTCTTTTCACATGTTTCTGTTTTTTTTTCCGTTCACGTAAAATAATACAAAATTACTCAATTTAAAATAAGGGGATTAATCAGGTATGTCTTCTTAATACTATATTTATCTCAGAAAATGTGGTTTTTGAAAGTTGCTCCATCTTAAAATAGAAAGAACCAAAAAAGATAAAATACATTTAAATAAATGTAAAGCGTTAAACCAAAAAGTGGGCAGTAACATTTTTAATAAAATAGATTAACAATATTTTGTAATAAACAAATGTAGCTGCTTTCAGATTTAAAGTGCACCTATCACGCTATTTCTAGGCAATAGCATAGGTCTCAGATATATAAAAAAAAAATAAGAAACATGTCTATGAAGTGTTTTGCTCCAAATACCAAACAGATCATCCATTCTAGCCATGCCTCATATCCCTCTATTTCACTTCCTGTTTCAAAAGTGCTGATTTTAAGTATAAAGCTTTAAAAAAAAAAAGAAATTGATCAAATAAAAAAGGAGGGGGCTGAGCTCATGTGGGACCCGGCAGCTACTGTCTAAACTAAACACTGCCGTGATGAAACGCCATATCATGGATTATCAAGGATTATCTCTGAAACAGTATGGAGCTCAAAGGCTTTCCCTCTTGCCGGTTATACCACAAGGTGAGTTCCTTTTTACTTCCTGCTTCTTCACACACATGCTCTCCAGTACAGGTTAGCTCTGAGTGTTAGCGATGCTAATGTAAACACCGACCATGTTACTTCCAAAACAGTCGGGCATTGTTTCTGATAGCAACGTTTCTGATTGGGCCGTGGGTCCACATTTCAGATATTACGTCATATCGGACGCAAATCTGGATCAGCTCCGTTGTTCCCCCGTTTTTAGAGATTTGGGTACGGAGGAAAAGAGAGAGGGTTTTATTTTCTGACGCTGCGTGAGTTCCCCGACGCACCGGGGACACATGTTTATGTAGAAACGACATCAAAAAGTGCATTTTGCATGATAGGTCCCCTTTAAGGAAAAAACAGTAAGGCATTCAATACGTTTATTTATTCTGTTTGTAAATTTAAAAAAAATCGGAACAAGCACATTGTATGGATGATATAAGTTAATAAATAAAAAATAACAAAAAATAAATATATACTCCTTTCCGTTCCCCACAGTCCTCAGACCACATTACCCCAGCAACAAATAACTCTCCTTCAGGAAGGGGGAGTAACAAAACAACCTCCCCCAACAAAATGGCTTCATGTATTGATCTGGGTGGACCAGACACAGTAACATGTCAAACTATCAGCAGCAGAACATCAATAATCCTCAATTCACTCCCGCTCCCCGCTGACTTAAATATATACAGGCACGTTCTCATCTTTAAGCCTGCGTTTATGTGCGAGAGGACGGCTCTGGAGCAGCCACTGCAGGAAGATAAGCTCCTCGTATGAAAAGGTGAGAGGCTCTGACAGCTTTATAGCCCGGCGTTTCATCCCAGCTGCCTCTCCTCGTTTTCCTCTGCCTCGCCTCTTTCCCTCCCTTCTCCTTAATTCTCCTCTGCCCTCCCTCCCCCCCTCTCTCCTACTGTCATCTGCTCCTCTGGGCCTGGCGGAGGCCCTCGAGGCGCTGGGCTGAGACACCAGAAGCCCCCCCGAGGCTCAGATAAGCCCGCAGACAGTTGGCTGTGGAGGCAGCGCTCAGAATGCTAAATCTCCGCGCTACTGGCCAGCGACGGCTTCATTTTGGGGCCGGTGTGAACTCAATGACACAACGTTAACGAGACACTCTCCGTGACTTTGGGGATGTGAACTTGAGTGTGAGAAATGAAAGGTACTGGGTGATTTTCAGGAGATACTGCAATGATATGAGAGGAGATAGAGAAACTCTTACAGAAGGAATTCTCGAGATGATGGTTTAGGAGGAAGGGCGTTTAACTAAACTTCCCCCAGGGGATTAATAAAGTATGTATTTTTAATACTTTATATATCTAGGAGGAAGTTAGGCTTCATGACAGTTGACGCGTTTCAGAAAAAATAGACATAAAAGGAGGAAGAAATTACCTTTAGTATCTTAAGAACCAGATATTTCCCTTAGGAATTTTGCAAAATGAAATAAAATAACATACTTTCTATATTAATAGAAAATACAATTTCTAAATAGAAAACAAATTTTTTGGGTTATGTGTTTCATTACCAATAACTGATGATGACTGAGCGTAATATAAATACTATGCGAGAATATAAAGAATTAAAATAGATAATTGAGAAAAAGATAGAGAGTAAATATAACAGGGAACATAGCAATATGCACATGCAATGTATACAGGGGTGTATTGCTATTGCTATTATTATTATTATTATTATTGTTATGTATGACCCCTTTGAGTGCATAACAGAAAACCCCTTACCGGTAGAAACGGACGATAAAAGGTAGTATTATTTACTAACAACATCATTCTTTGATTGACTTCCAGCCTGATAACGCAGGACCCTTTAATCGATGCCTCAAACATCAGAGAGCTCACATAGCAGCACCTAAAGGAAGTGAGGGTCTCTGGAGGCAGGGTGGGGCTCAGTGCTGCTGCTGTGATGTCCTGTCCTTGCACTCTCTCTGTTTGTGTGTAATGTTTGTGTGTGTGCACCGTAATCCTGCTGTGTCTAATGGGATCTGCGGAGTGGAACAGGCAGAGAGGGGGCTTAATACCAGCGCTTAGCTGCCCGGAGGAACGCCTGTCAGCAAAGGCCGATTAGGATCAGAGGGGTGGGGTGGCCGACTGACACAATCATCTTTAATAATGACTTTCAGAAAGCTGTCTGCGGCGGGCGGAGGCGCTCACCGACGCGGCCCGTCTCAAATTGAAACGTCTTTGATAGCTGTAGAGCAGAGGGACTGAATACAGCGTTCTGTCAAAACATCCTGCGCCCCGACAGCGGCTCTGACTGATAGGCCGAGCGTGAATGTCACGGGGGAGAATGGTAATTCACACGGCCAGATACGGAGACGGTAATGGTGATCTCTTAATGCATCTATGAGGGTGTATAGCTACTGAATTAGCCCCCCCCCCCCC